CTTAGTTAATTAATACCAATTAAAGCTCTATTTTAGAAATGGATGCTTTAGATGATAGATATGTAAATACAAAAGAGTTGTATGGTATTTATGTAAATTAATCAAATTTAAAATACCTTGAGATCGCCGGCTCTTCTGCCGAACGCCTTTGCTAAAATCTCCAATGAATCTATCACATCGATAGGCTCCGGCGGCTGCCGACCAATATCAGCGAACGCCTCCTTTATCCGATGGCAATCAAATCTGAGTATGTTATGTCCTACCCATACTCTCCCTGCTCAAATTTTACAGTACAATATTTTTCATTATAATTAGTTATGCCGAAATTAACCAAATCGCTAATTCGAAATTGACTCAAAATTGGCCGACTAGCTTGAATTCGACCCAAAGATGACTAGAATCAGCCCGAATTTGACCCAAACCAACTCGAACAACCGTAATATCTTATGGTAAATGAGTAACACGAGTCCGTTTGGGTCAAGTTTTTTGACTCATTTAAACAGTTGTCGCAAACGTGCACGACTCCTGTTAGATAAATCCTCCAACAATCAATAAAACTCACCGTTCAAAATGTCATAAACTCGATCAGCCAACTCCTCAAACATGGGAGCCGTCGCCACCGCCTCTCTCGTAATGCCACTAAGCCTCCTTGGAGCAACCAAAGAAATATCAGGCGGCCTTACTAGACTACAAAAGCTCTCCACTTCCACAAGCTTCTTCGGACACACCACAATCGATCCAAACTCTACCACCCAAAACCTCCGTCCTCGTCCCGCCGCCGCCGTAGTCTCGACGTCAAAGAAAACAAGCTCGGCCATGTTACTTGAACAAGCTCTTCAAGAGCTCTCTTCATGCATAAAAAGTTTATGTAAATAGAGAGAGATGGGGAGGGAGAAGAGAGGATAGTTTGGGGATGAGGTTTGTTTGGCTTAGAGTACAAGTAGGAGGAGAGGAAGGGTTGAAGGAGTCCTTAGCTTGTTATATCTTTCATTTTGTTTCTGATGTCTATCGTTTGCTTTACTTCATAAGAAGGTTATATTGCTTTTGCTTTGTTTTGAAGCTTTGATTTGTGGGAGGCGAGCTGAAGATGAGGGAGGCATTTACATAAATGTATAACACCCAATTTTTATATATTTGCATATGTAAATGCTAAATTTTGTTTTTTTATATTTATACCCTTCAAAACTTTTGTATAAGATCTAATAAGACATGATTTAAGTGTCAATTTAGGACAGTTTTTTGTCTTCTTTTTATTTCAGATGAATATCATAATTCTATTTGAGAAACTATTTAAGGGATGGAAAACTGTTTTTTTTCTAACCTAATATTTTAAAGTATGATGGTTGTAAAAAAATTCTCTCATATATATATATATATATATATAT